CATCCTTACTCTAAGCATATAATGCAAAATCATGTAAGACTAACCACTTGAGAAATTTAAAATTATAACTGACCTCCTCTGTGCTATCCACTCAAGTAGACAGAAAATTTGTTTCGACGATAACTTATGGACTCAATATATCTAACAAAATTAACTCATAACTATACAAAACTTTGTTGAATATCTCTTCATTAAAGCACATTTCTCACGTTTGGTAGAGAGGAAATACTTTTGTTAAGCAAATGTAACCTATAAATGTCCTTGAAAAGTACACACAAGGTCAACTATTCCAAAATGTGTATTGTTGATGAATAAACCACTGAAATCTACTTCATGTAATTAGGTTAATGGAACTGTATGTAACCTTGAGAATTCTCATATGCAGCGTAAAGGTCACACATACACACACACATACGAATAGCAATTGTTTGTTTGTTTGTTAACTTCTATACTGAATTCTCCAGGTAAGAGAAATACAGTAAGGAATTATGTTGTTTGTAACAACAGCAAATTCTTTCTAACCAATTGATTTTACACATGCTGTCAGGCATAGATATGATAGAGAAGATTTGCGGACGATGTGATGTGTGTGATTGTATTCTCTAAGCTAGATGGTTTAGATTGTGAAGCTTTCATTGTCTTTCTAGGCAATATCTTCAGCGCAGACTTCATATTGAAGACCAGTTTAGAGGAAGCAACAATACCAACTGTCAAGAATGTCTATAAACATATATATATAGTGGATATTATATGTGTTGGAGACAATCGGCAGGAAGCCCAATCTGACCTAGATTTCGCGCTAGTTGGCACTCCCCAGTCAGTAAGGCGTATCTGCAACCCCCAAGGAACTCATTTCCCTTCTGAGATTCGAACCCGCGTCACCCAGTGAGTACTGCAGTCAGAGACGTTACCCCTGAGCTATTCAAGGTTGCGATTGACCTCCTGTAGGACTGTATTGGATATTTTTGATTAGACACTAGTTAGTAACTAGTGTAATGTGTCTAGTCCTTTGTTTGGTGTAGACTGAATTCTATCAGTCAAGTTTGCGATGTGGCCACCATGCCACTAGGTGGCTCGGCATCACGGTGCACATTGATTTGATGATATTAGATATTCAGTCTGCACCAAAGAAAGGACTAGACACATCACACTAGTTACTAGTGTCCAATCAAAGTACAGTTATAAATTACCTATGATATAAAACATCCCCAACAAGGGGTATCAGAAGTCTGTCCACAAGAATTAAACAGAACAAAACACATTTCTCTCAGACAGCCAAAGGTAAAATAGTCACTCCACACAGTAGCCTTAAATTCGTTCAGTCAAAACTGTACCTGCAAACCAACACATTATCAACACCATCATAAAATAGCAAAGAGAAGCATTAAAAATAGTCGTCCATTGGTCTGCAAAAGCCCAAAAGACAAGATACCACATCTATGTGTGTAGATCAGTCCACCTGTTGCTGTGGAACCAGGTACATTGGTCGTTCGATGCGTATCGTGTCCAAAAGGGTTGAAAAACATTATCTCATTTGGCTACTGAAACGTAGTAGTGGTTCTATAAGTAGTGAGATAATCGAACAGCTTGTCAACACTAGTCATTCCACCTCAACAAATGCCTCCTTCAAAGTAATCTGCAAAGTAACCTCCTGTAGGACTGTATTGGATTGTTGGAATTGCAAACTAATAAACACTAGTATGACTAGTGTCCAATATATATATATATATATATATATATATATATATGGAATTAGAAAGATGATACTGGGTATGTGCCACTTAACGCGATTGCCTCAGATAGGTCATTTTCTGTTTCCTCTTTTCTAAATTATGTTCACTTAGTGGGAAAGTATCACCTTCAGCCGATGAGCAAATTTCAATCGATCGGGTCAAAACCGTCTCGATGGCTAGCTAGGCTTATGAGAATAAATTCTACATATATGTGTCTGGAAACAGTAATTCTGATGTTCATTTTCACAAAGAAGTACTCTAAGTAAATCACTTTTATTAAAGGATAATATAATCGCCAGAATGAGAGATTCCATCTAACCGTCAAGTGAAATCACCGAAGGATACACCTTAATGTGATTAAAAAGTCGATAGAAATTATTGTTAGCTAATAACTATATTGATACCTTTGAGTCAACCAATGAAACCATCCATGTATATACATGTTCAAAGAAGTTTAACTGTTGTGAAACATGATAACTTTCTATAAAACAATGCAAAAATAACTCACCGTTTCTCATCCGAATGTTGGTATTCATCCGGATGACTGTATTTTTTAGATTTCAAGTTAGATTACTAGCTGATATAAGTATAAAACTTGGACACTGTGGTAGAGTATAACTCCATTATGGATAAGATTGTATTTTGATAAATCACACAGTGTTGTACAGTTATATTAACTGATGACGTTTCGAGCATAAACTATTATTGCTCATAATCATATCAAGTTACTCACACAACTTCTTTCCTTCATTTATATACATGTGTGGAATTGACTAGATATTGGAATAAAATTCAATATGAGATAATGTACATTCAGAAATAATAATACGAGTGTTATTGATCCATCACAATTAGATGGGAAAAAGGACGAGTGTTTCTACAATCACAATAAATTACTTATTAGAATTATTATTATTATTGTGATTGTAGAAACACTCGTCCTTTTTCCCATCTGATTGTAATTGATCAATAACACTCGTATTATTATTTCTGAATGTACATTATCTCATAATGAATTTTATTCCAATATCTAATCGATTCAACACATGTATATAAATGAAGGAAAGAAGTTGTGTGAGTAACTTGATATGATTATGAGCAATAAATAGTTTATGCTCGAAACGTCATCAGTTAATATAACTGTATAACAGTGTGTGATTTATCAAAATAAAATCTTATCCATAATACATTACTAGCTGATATCAATTAGAGAACCTTTGAAAACCAAGGCAGGGAGTAGCGGATAGTTGTTCTGTTCTGTTCCATTCTGAGACACTTCAACAGTACGCACCCACGACCTTCTGGAGACTGAATCCACGACCTTCATGTTACAAGACGAGTTGTTTGACCAGTCAGATGCGGGAATGGAATCTATTGACTCATGAATTCTATTATTATTATTATTATTATTAATGTTAGGTTCCGAGTGGAACAAACAGTTTCAGCAGTACATCTCCATTTCACTCTGTTCTCTGAGGTCCCCTTCAGCTGGCTGCTTAACTGACCATAAGCTTTCCTCTCCTCTTCACATGATCTCCATGTCACCTTCGGACGTCAGACTTGTCGTTTTCCATTCGGTTTGCAGTCGACAGCCTGGTATGTGATGATATCAATTAACGGTCTCCTAAGCGTGTGTCCAATCCAACTCTATTTTCATTTGACATATTTGCTGGGTAGCAGATTCTTGGTTGTTTCGTCACCTATCAAAGTTTCTTTTTTGCTTATCCTTCCTGGCCACTTCATCTTCTGTACGGAGCGAAGTCAGCTGTGGATAAAAGCCCCAAGTAGCCTGCCGCAAATATTTTTCATGACGCTGCATGTCTCTGAAGCATATAAAAGCACTGACTTGACATTAATGTTGAGAATCCGAATCTTGTTCTGTCAGTTTGCAGTTTATTTCACCACTACCAGTCAGTATCACCAGCAAGCATCTGTCCTCACACCCAATTCAATGGACCCCAGTGGTAATGAAATCTTACTAGGACACCAAGCAATTTCGTCCTATAATCAATCACTAGTGTGCACTAGGGTCAGCAGCTAGTGTGAAATTTAGATTAGGATTAGGTTAGGATGGAATATAATGAACTTCTGCGTCGGTGGCACAGCGGTTAGGACGCTCGCCGACCATGCACATGGTCCGGGGTTCGATCCCCGGCCACTGGACGCACTCCTTTACCTCGCTAAGCCAGGAATAACGCTGGTAAAGAGGAAAGGTTGGGCATGAGGCTAACAACGCCATCCTGTAAAAAATAAACACTGCTACAGAAACTTCAAGCCATTGGCTTGAAGCCCTATGTTCCACTGGGAACGTGAAGGAAAAAGAAAAAATATAATGAACTTTAAGTTAGGGTTAGGAACGCTGATTAGGATTTAGTTTAAGGCATTTTACGTAAAAGTCCTTTTATTGTAAATGATGAACAGCAGCTTAATAATAGATTACAACTCTGTTAATTGATAGTCTGAAATCTGTACGAGTGTATGCTATTTATTTGACACGAATATGACTAATAATTCGATTAGGATAACTAACTAACAGACTACATTACCCTTTGAAACATTAGTTACAGTTTTTATGCTAATTAAAAGCCACCATGTTGTGAGAGAAAACCTTTAAAATTATCTGCCTAAACAGAAATGTTGATAAAAAAAAGAAAGAACTTCGATACATGCAAATCGAATCAATGTGTGTTAAAAAAAACCAAACAAACAAAAAGGGGCAGTAAACCTTTATTTAGTCTAGGCTGACAAACATATGCGTCAAAATCTTAAATATTGTTTTTAAAAAAATACTATTTTGCAGTTGCAGATGTCGTCCACACTGCTGCTGCTGCTACTACTACTACTAATACCACTACTACAATGACCTTGTAACTCCATCGACCCTTTTTTACTTTGATTTCTTACTTACTATTTGTTAACTAGATGTTCGTATGTTGTTGTATTGTTAATATATATTATTGTCACATTTGCGCTTGCAAAAATGAACCCTACCTTTCCATTTAAAGTCTTCATATTTCTATTGGTTAAGACTGATTTGGTTTATATACATATTAATACAGCGCAGCACATTGGAGTTCACGTGTCAAGCATGTCGAAAATTTAAAACGACAACAGATAGATAGATAATAGATAGATAGATGGATAAACAGACATACATATCATGCAGCTGAGTATATTCTACCTATAGATAAATACAAGTGTGTGTGTCTGTCTGTCTATCCCTCTAATTTTTTTTTCATGCTTCTTTATGCATTACTGCTGCTTCAACTGCATCTCTGCTTACCTACTTACTGTAAGGATGGATAATTTACACCATTGAACTTTTAAATTTAAGGTTTTACTCATTTCATATATACATACACACACATATATATACACACACTAATCACTATATTGTGAATTAATAAATAACTACACTGTGATAGTAGTTCGGATTATTGTTATTATTATTAATATTATAACTAGTAAAGAAAAAGCATACAACAACGGCGTATATACATCTATTGGTGACATACACACATATTGATGAAAAAGTATTCTTCACAAAGGTACAATATCATCGAAGATTTCTGTAGTATTATTCAATTCCGGTATCTGGTGTAATACATACGTCACTGATTTCATTCCTTATATAAATAGAAAAATACAATACAGGCATCGTATTATAAAAACAACACCAACAACAACTACTACAATATTAATAACAACAATAATAATAATCATAATACAATAACAATTATTATTCAATCAGGTGAGTGAACAGTGAAAATATAATCTTTGTCTTTATTTACAAATACGCTGTGATGACTTAGTACTGCTATTAATTAATTAGAGAAGAACAGAAAGACTTCTATCTCTAGATCAGAAAATTATTTCATTTATTATTATTATTATTATTATTATTATTATTATTTTATTATGATAGTCATTACTAATATTATTTTCAAGATTAGTCACGATCTGATTTCAATTAGATGAAAACCATTGAAAAACCATCAGGGAGTACTGGACAGGTGTTTCGTCCTTTTGTTTGGGACTCTTCAGCAGCGCACACTCATAATCACGCCTCTAGGGATCGAACCCGGGACCTTCAAATTTGGATGGAATTCAATGGCCAGTCTATCAATTCTAACTTAATATAGTTCATGATATTAATCCCATGAACAAGCATGTTACCTATTATTATTATTATTATTATTATTATTATTATTATTCCCTTTGGTTCCAAGTAGAATCTAGGCCTTCGATAGCACACCTCCATTTCCCCCTGTTTTCTGCAGTCCTCTTCAACTGGCCCTACGATCGCCCATGTCTCCCTTTGGATGCGTATTTCATCTTTTCCCAGTCGGGTTCCACTCGAGGGTTCACTGCCTAGATTGTGATGTCATCTGGCAGTCTCTTTGGCATGTGTCCTGTTCATCTCTCCTTTATTCCAGACTAATTTGTTGAGAAATAGGCTTTTGATTGGATGATATTAAAGTGACTACTCTAGTGACTATAGCGTCCATTCTTTGTGATCTGGGAGAGTCGTAAGGCTTCTAACAAACGTTCATTTTATCGCACTACGTTATCTGTGGAGAAGAAAGCTTTAGTATAGAAAATTCTAACTTTCTTCTTACCTAAATTATATGAATGAAGTTGTTAGAATGTGGACGTTTAAAGTCAATTGAAAATTTTCACCACATTTGTGGAAATTAATTATGCTATATAATGATTTCGTATTGTTATAGTAATTTCGAATGTTGAAATTAACTTTTCAAGAGACTACTATCAAGGTAATAATCATTTCACTTGACTTCAGTCTTGGAAATGTAAATGCATATTTACAATGGCGTCCAAAGTAGTATCGATTATTTTTTCCCTTTACTTTCCCCAGTGGAACATAGGGTTTCAGGCTAGAGCTTTCAAGTTTCCGTAGCAGTGGTGTTTACTTTTACGGAATGGGGTTGCTAACATCATGCCTAGCCTTATTAGTCTTATTACTGGCTTAGTGAGGTAAATGAGTGCGTCGGTGGCCGGGGATCGAACCCCAGACCACCCACGTGGTTGGTGAGCATTCTACCGCTGTGCTACCGATACTCAATGTAATATAGAATGAAATATTAATTTCTAAAGATGTTTGTTTTAATTAATTTAATTTAATTATAGCTTTATTCCACACAGTATTTTCGTACAAGTTTGAAATTTTCAGCATGTGATATCGGTAGCCCATATTTAGAAGGCTGACCATAGATATCAGGTGTGAGTCGGTGGAGGATCGAACCTCGGACCATGTGCGTGGTCGGCGACAGTCCTAACCGCTGTGCCATCGACGCATAGTGTCAGTGCTAACTGGAAGGAAGGCTTGCTTCATCACGGGACTACTTAATTTTTCATCCAACATAATCTACACAGACTCCTCTTAAGTTCTTAGTGTTTCAATCATTCAATTATATGTTTGAATAGTAACATGAACTGGCGCATATTTTTAATTAGCTTTCACAGTGTTATGTTGTATACATTTCTCGAGAGATTTAAAGGATAAAAATGTCGCAGAGGATTATTAGGTCTTACTTCAGATGGAATAACACTCTGTGGAGTGATAAACTATCGATTACTCATTCTGTTTAAAGATCTTGTAACAAAAGGGAAATATTTTTGCAATTAAACATTCTGACAATTCTATACCATATGGTAAAATATTGTAGGAATTAAGGCTGTAGGGATTCAAAACACGACCTACTTTCTGTATAGTTTATTAAATTAATAAAAACAAGACAAGTAGTTCATCGAATTCATTTTCTTTAACTGTACAATTATACTACTATAAAAAATTTTCTCTGTCATGAAAGTGCCTAGTATGAAAGGCATATTGTTATTATTCCCTTGGGTTCCGAGTGGAACATAGGGCTTCAACAACACATCTCCACTTTCTTCTATTTTCTGCTATCCTCTTCAACTGGCTGGGTCCATGATTGCGCATAATCTCTCATCTCCTCCTCACCAAACGATCTCATCCATGTCATCCTCGAAGTGACGACCCTCGACCCGTCGCTTCCCATTGGGATTCCACTCAAGCAATGGTCTGCATTGCGCGCGATGTCATCCAACCATTTCCTCAATGTATGTATGTATGTATGAAAGGGATGAATTATCATAAAAAATTCTTGATAATATTAATCAATATATACGAGAAGTTGAATAAGGTTGATAGAATTACATAATGAGATAAATAATTTATTAAGTGAGTTGTAATCAGAATGTACATAAAAACAAAAAGGAAATTTTTTATGTCACCTAAGAGTTTGGGTGGATAGATGAGTCAGAAAGGGGAATAGAAATAAAATAAGTCAAACAGTAGGATGATTCATCTCTTTCTAACTATTGATTTTCACTGGAGAGAGGAGAGAAAGAGAGAGAGAAATTGTATACAAATGCGATTGTACAATTAATTAAAGTGAATTAGCCTTTAAAAAACAAACATACTCTTCTCTGAACTACATTTGTCTTGCTTTGATTAATGTTCAGATGGGAATTAATCATGGATATTAAATTAAGCCGAAAACTTCTGTATGTGATCACAGTTCATATCAATTATATACGTTTAAATTAGTTTCTTTTCCTTATATAACAAAGGATGGTAGAATTTTTTTGTAATCTATCTAAAACAGGATCCTTTCAGTTCATTTAGTTAAAATGAAGGAACGGAACATAAACTTCTGTGATTATTTAGTGTAAAGAGGGATTTTATTTTTACTAATATTATTTTGCAGTTAAAGCATTCCCTTTCTTATATATACAATAAGGTTGTGAATATCTTCAACTGCAATCTAGTCTATTCTGTCATACAAGACAAAAAAATCAATATTTCAATAATCAGATGAATTTAAATTCTATACAATCAATAAATAAAATCATGCCTTTCCCAGTCTTATCTTTTACTAATTATGATGGTATTCGAATAATTAGTTATTTATATGTATATATTGTTGTATGTCAAAGTATTTGAAACTGCATAATGCTAACTCACTAGTTTGATTAACCCATGTGAGTTAGCTGTTGATTACAGTTGATCATATATTCTTCGGTCATTTTTATGGCTTTATTTTATAAGTAATAATATAATATTATTTTTTGTCACTTTTTAATGTATTGAGAGAATTATACTGTATTCGAACTTGTTAACGTTCACTGGCTAGTTGAAGTACATAAACCAGTACTACAGAAGCTATTCGGAGAATATATTGTCCAGTAAATGCACAGACAGAAATGTAAGCGGACGAATTGAATACATGCTGAGGAGACTATTGAGTGACATTACTCACGAGGTCGGCCGTCGAGTGGAACCCGAATGGGAAACGATGAATTGGGTGTGGGCTCGAGGGTGATATGACGGAGACCATGTAAGGAGGATGAAATTCGGATGCCCTGTTGAAGAAGCTATTCATCTCCCGAATATTTGTATACAGTAATGTGAATGGCTTCGTCATCGAATGGCTGAACAAGCTACATATCTTTCATATTATTAAGTGATAATAATAAGTCAGAGTAGAAGAATATAATTCCATACTAAATAAGTTTATTGGTTATATATACATATATATGCGTCGGTGGCACAGAGGTAGAGTGCTCGCCGACCACGCAGTTGATCAGGGGTTCGATCCCCGGCCACCGACTCACTCCCAAATCTCGCTAAACCAGTAGTAAGACTGGTAAAGAGGGAAGGTTGGACATGAGGCTAGCAACCCCTATCCTGTGAAAATTATCACCACTGCTACAGAAACTACAGATAGTAAAGGAATAACAGTGACACAGTATTTATAACTGGATGACATTACATGATGTATGTGTCAATGAGGAAGTTATTCAGTTTTTTTTCATTCAATAAATAGCACATTCAGAGTCATTTTACCGATGTTAAATAATTGTTAGTGTGAAACTTATTATTGTTATCCCTTTGGACTGTGAGTGGAACATGGGGTTTCATCAGCCCATCTCCATTCCATCCTGTTCTCTCTACACTCCCATTTATCTGGCTTCACTACTGACCATAAGCTTTCATTTCCTCCTCACACGGTCTCCTTCATGTCAACCTCAGATGTCCAACTCGTTGTTTTCCATTCAGGTTACAATCGAGGGTGTATCACACGATGTTACTCAATGATCCTCTCAGTGTTTATCCAATCCATCTCCATTTTCTTCAGTATATATGTCAAGGAATAGGTTCTTGATTGGTTTATTCCCAGAGTTCCTTGTTGCTAATTTTTCCTAGCCTTCTGATCTTCAATATCGAGTCAGAGAAGGCAACTGTTGATAGAAGTCTTCAACAGACTGTTTGTTGGAAGTGTTATTTGAAATGTGCCGAATTTCTGACCTATATATAGTTTATCATATTCATTAGTTGATTAATATTCATAGAATGCGAATTCATTATTTAAATTTAAGCTATTTAAGCCAATTAACACACAAAACGATCACTTTATTTATCTCTGTCTATATATGTGTATATAAAAATACACGTTCCACCATTATTCTCTTTTCGTTTTCAGATTAACTAACTGGCTAACTAACTAACTAATTGACTATCTAATCAATGGAAATCGGTCCAAATTTATGTATATGGCCAGTTCAATCCGGTATAAATAATCATGAAAATGAACATGGATATGAATTAAAATCTATTACAAAAAATATTTCACCTATTATACAACAAAATAATTCATCATTTATATATAATCATAAAAATGATATATTAGAATTAGAAAGTGATAGTGATATTGATAATGAAATTGAATCAACCAATCATATTCATCCTCCTCCTGCCCATCCTCCCCATCCTCCTCATTCTCATAATGATCGAGATCAGCATAAGCAGCATCAACAGTATTCTCATCCTAGTTATCAAAATCATCACCAAGAGCAAGAACAACACCACGAACAACACCATCAGCAACAGACGACCTATGATCACCTACATGGAGTTCATCAGTGTCAATCATCTCATTGGGATACTACCAAGTTAATCAATTTATCTATAGATGAAAATGATACTGATGAGATTAACAGTGTAATCATTGAAGATATCGATTCAAATGAAAATAATCATAATAGTAATAATCTGCATAATGATGATTCATTGTATGATGAACAATCCCTGTCTATCAATGAAAAACATTATCATCATCATCATCAGAATAATACTCCATATGATTTACATCAGAAAAATATTCAGAATAAAGATTATACCTGTGGATTTTGTGGACATGATTTTGATACACCTGAACAAGTTGAAAAACATGTTTTAATTAAACATTCAGATCATTTAATTCATTTTAATGAAAATAAAACAATCAATTCAACGAATACTACTACTACTACTACTGCTACTAATACTAATACTACTGATATTCTCGATAAATCAGTAGTATTAATAGATGAGCAAAAGAAAATTAATATTAATAATAATACTGGATTATTACAAAAAGATGCAAAAAAATTATCTGAAAAAGATAAATTATTAACAACTATATTGAACAGTTCTATTTCAGATACACAAACAGATGATCTAGTATCCATGAGGAATAATAATAATAATAAGGACGTTTCAACACCGATAATGAATCCAATGATTACAGATTGTCCATTATGTGATCGAACATTTGTTGGACGTAGATCATTAAATATACATTTGAATAAAACACATTCTATTCGAGAAAATAATAACAGTAATTGTAATAATAATAACAGCATGGATACTACGAATACAACAGTTAGTGTTAGTAATGCTACAAAAATGATGAATAATACCAATAGTATAGGTAAGCGATAGAGTAAACTCCTCTTAGTTATTCCTAGTTTTGCCTTGTTAATATTTTATACACTTACTATTATGTCCTTAGGTTTCGACTGGAATATCTGGTTTCAGTGACATATTACCACTTAATCGTGTTCTTCACAGTCCTCTTCAGCTGACTCTGTGATTGCCCCACCCCATAAGCTCTCATTTCCTGCTGATACGATCTCCTCCATATGACCTTTGGACTATAGTCCAACTCGTTGTTCCCCATTCGGGTTGCAACTTGGGGGGGGGGTCAGTTGATGTATGATGTCACTCAACAATCTCCTCAGTGTATGTCCAATCCATCCACCTCCATATCTTTAGGCATATTTGTTAGGTGATAGGTTCTTGATTGGTTTGTTGACAGAGTTTATTATTGTTAATCCTTTCTGGCTGGCCGTTCGATTCTCACTATTTAGACGGAGAAGGCAACTGTTGCTAAGAGTTTGCATTAGTCTGTTGGAAATGATTCTGACGACTGACATGCCAAGTTTCTGAACCATATAGTGGCAATAACTTGATATTAGTCTTATAAATCTAAATTTCTTGTTTCTTTTGATGAGTGCGGTAGATTTCCACATTACTGGTGTTAAATAAACTCACTTTTAGCATTGTTAAAAGATTTTTAAGATCTCATCAGGAATATATAAATATCATTCAGCAGTTATTAATTTTTTCCTAAATGCCTTGACTAATTTCTTACTACGTTTTTTTTTTAAATTTCACTTGCTATTCTTTTGATAAGAGTTATGACTACCAAATTGCGTAACCAATTTCACATATCGAATAACTTACATACATCATATAAAGCTTTTTATGTTTTTGCTTATCATTTAGCTTTGTATTTTCGTTCCCCAGTGGAACATAGAGCTTCAAGCTAGTGGCTTGAAGATTCTGTAGCAGTGTTTATTTTTTACAGGATAGGGTTGCTAGCCTCATGCCCAACCTTTCCTCTTCACCAGCATTATTTCTGGCTTAGTGAGGTAAAGGAGTGCGTTGGCCGGGGATCGAACCCCGGACCATGTGCATGGTCGGCGAGCTTCCTAACCGCTATGCCACCGACGCTTTGTTCACCTTACTAAACTAAATTGAATAAGTTTCGTTTAGGTATATGAAATCACTGGACAAATCTTCCAGTAGTTCTTTTTCTTCTTTATGATGAGACTAACAGTAAATGACTTTCATAGCATAGCAGATTAGTATCAACGTTGCAAAGTTCAGATCTAGAATGCCGATAACATCACCAACAAGTATGCAATCATCTCCATTTGATTGCATCTCGAATAGAAGGAAATATGTGTTCTGGACTTCACTGGTAGCCATCAATTGCAAATATCATGTTTTCACGTGATTCCTATAGGTTTTCTTTATAAATGCATATTTCTACAGTAAATTTGAGATAGGAGTGAAAAATTACAACATTCTGTTTAGTTTTCATTAATCAGCTGATGCCACCTCTTAAAGTGCAAAAATGACATTTTTCCATCAGCTGTAAAAAAAATTCAAATGAAATTCTTATTGTACATATCCGTCAAATACAGTTTGTTTTTTATAAGGAGGTTTGTACCTCTAAAAGAAATTACTTAGATTAAATTATTTACAATATTAGGAAGTAATTTTCAATAACTTATCTAACAACGAATCATTGCACAAAAAACACTTGTTTTTAGTGAGAAGGGAATTACTACTTAAGTGTACAAACTAGTAGTCTAAAGATAAATGGAATTTATTTGTCTATGTCTTAAAGCGAATAGATCCATGAAGAAAGGAATATGGCTATTTGGGAAATAGTATCCTTTAAATAAATAACCCTTCAGTAGCATCATATGTCCAACTCAACTAACAATAGAACAAAACATACAAGCGAACACGGTGTCGGTGGCTTAGCGGTAGAATGCTCACCGACCACGCCTCATGTGGTTCGGGGTTCGATCCCCGGCCACCGACGCACTCCTTTACCTCACTAGGCTAGTAATACGACCGGTAAAGAGGAAAGGTTGGACATGGGCCTAGCAACCCCATCCCTTAAAAATAAACACCACTGATATCGAAACTTGAAAGCTCTAGCTTGAAGCCCTGTGTTCCAGTGGGAACGTAAAGGAATAAGAAAAGTTATAAGCGAACAATATTGTTTTCGATTAGATCTTCAGGCTTTACTGTAGTTTACATAGATTTATGTATAAAAATTTTAACTGGTAGCGGTGAGTTTGTGGATCAGATAATAATAATAATGTAGTAAATGTTTTGAACGTCAGTAATAACTGTCATTATAATGGTTACAAAATAATGATAATAAGGTTTATGCACGTGGCGATAAGAATAACGAAGGTAGTAATATGTGTGTAGACAATTAAATAAGTAAATTAGGTCAAATCTTAAAAGTTACATAACACTAAAGGTGAAGTAGACAGATAATCAGAGTCTAAATAAATATCATTAAGACACGAATGAAATGGAAAATAAGAAAGGATGAGAGGGTTTTAATTAGACTTCACCTAGGCCAAAGGAGAGACAAAAGTAGAACAAACTTCTTTTGTGTGCAAAGACTTGGATTGTTCTCTCGAATTAATTCCCATAGCTTCGGCTATGTGTAAAAGGCGGATTCGAATTCCGTTCTAAAGGCTTGATGGAATGCGTTAGATAACTTGGAAGGCACTATTTCTGTCCACTTGGTGACCAATATCAATCAAATGAGTCAAAATAGAACTTCTTACAGATTTTATTTGGCTTTTTCCGAACCATTGAGGAAGGAAGATGCTCATTAATGCGTTTGTTGAGCTGTCTACTTGTTTGCCCTATATAGCTTTCTCCGAAGGAGCAGCTAAATTTGTAGTTACCTAGAAGTGGTACAGCTAGGCAGCTTGTCTTTCGCTTGAGCAGTCATGATTGGTCGGCTCTACCAAGTCATAATGTTATATATCAGAAAAGATGTCAGTAGAAGAAGCATTGAGTAAAAACTGATTTCGACTTGAGTTCTTTCATTTTGGATACTGACAACCACGAAATAATTCACTTATGCAAGTTTTATGAGTATTAGAAAATAAAGTTTTGATTACTTCATTTGAATAACTCCCTCTTCACAGTAATAAGACGTCAAGCATAAGTAAAAATTTCAAATTCATGCGTTGTAATTAAAATACATTGGGACTCTTTAAACACAGATTACGAGAATAAGTACTGGTTCACCTCGCCAAAGTATTGAGCTAATTATTTTTCACTACTATTTTTGTTTATTTCATCAAGAGTAAACTAGACGTGCATTCCAAGCTGCATTTTTACGTCAGTGGTTCAATGTAGGATGTTCGACTTTGGACAGAGGCACTCCTGAAAAGTCGCCTAGGTTACTAGTCTGTAGTAAACCAGGGGGAGAAAGAATATTGGGTGTAAGGCTAGCAATCGCACGCTGTAGAATCAAATGAAACCACCATTCTCGAAACTTCAGAGTTTGAAGCCATATGTTCCACTGGGAGTGCGAGGAATAAAAATACACATAAATTACATTAAAATATCAATGATCATTCGATACTCTGTAGAAATATAATAACTAACAATCATTAGAAATATGACTGTCGTTTCAGTGAAAGTTTCTAGCGGTTTTCGCATTTTTATTCTTTGCTTATGTATAAATTCTCAACTGAGAATAGTATTACTGCCAGTGTCAAATAATTTGCAGTAAATAAAATATATCTTGTCCATGAAACTGGGATTCTGTTCTAGATACATTAGTGTAGTTTTGTTATCTGAGTGGGTTGATTTATATTGCACAGTTTGCGCTGAAGATATTGTCTAGAAAAAGGACAGCAAAAGCTTCACAAATAAATCATCTACCTCAGAGAAAACAACTACATCAATTTCATTTACCCAAGCTACATATCTTCTCCATCATGTCTTCAATATTAAATCTATCCGATCATATTGTCACTCGAAAAAAAAGAGAGGTATAGCAAACAGACTGATAGAAATTAATATGATAAGAAATAACTTCAGCACCTACTGTTTTACAACAGTGTTCTAACAGATGTTGAAATCAACCGCAAAATTAAAGTTTTTCTTCACTATCTTAAAAGTGGCGGGTAACATTGAGAATTCTGGTCAAGCGCTCATGTGATCCAGGTTCGATACCTGGCTGACGAACTCCTAAACCTCGCTAAACCGGTAAAGAGGAAAGGCTGAGTGTGAGACCAGTAACCTCTGACAAATGCTTTATTTATCATCAAAACATTGTTTATCATTTAGTAAAATAATGGGCGATTAGGCTAAGAATAAATCTTTCAGCCATTGTGTTGAGGATTGAATTCTCGCCTCATCTACTTTACTTTGAGCAAATGTTATCATCACCAGTTGCTCATACCACAAGTACAGCTCACAGAGTGGAAGGTGAAAAATCTGATCCCGTTAGCTGAGTTCTAACTAAGTAAGGTTGCTTTACATTATATTTATAGCTCTTTTGTTTTTCTTAATCTCTATTATAATTTAGACATTGAACAATCAAAGTGCAATTCACAAATGAAATTAACACGTCTATCTCATTCATATTCTTTGAAAGGTAACAATAGAAGCCTCAATAGTAATAAGGTTTTTACTGAATCATTAAAATCTTCATCAAATGAAAAATCATCATGTAAAATTGCTGTTCGACCACCGCTTCTACCAAGGCCATCACGTATTGAAAATTCAGCAATACATACGTCAGTTTCATCTTCACAATCATCAAATATGGACTATATAAGTGCAAATAACCTGTTATCAACTTCATCGGATATTTCTATATCTAAAAGTAGTGATAGTGAAGAATCAAGTCTTCAGAAGTCTCGACGTACTGTCTATGCAGTGTCACCTCCTTTAGCAAAAGAGCACAGTAAGTAATGTATTACATATATATATGCTTTCAGTTTTAAAGAATTTAAGAAATATCTTACATGTGACGATGAAAATTCCTGTTCAGAATATTATGTGACATTACTAAGTATAGGATATGCGTCGGTGATTCACTGATAGAATGCCCGCCAGCCAGCCACACACACACGTAGTTTGGATTCAATTCCTGACCTATGCACCCCTTTAACCTCTCTCTTAAACGGTAGTAGGCCCGGTAAATAAGGAAGCTTGGGCGTGAAGCTAGCAATCTCATCCTGTTAAAATCCCCACCTCTACTGAAACTTCAATTCTCAAACTTGGAGCCCTATGTTCCACTGGGAACAGAAAGGAATGGAAAAAAGCATGGCGCAGATAAATTGTTTTGAAACTCTATTCTCAAGAAAAAAGATTATTTTACTGAAATTAGTATACTTCAGAGTCAAATTTCATACTGGACAGAGTTTTTAACGACGCATATTTTAAACTCTGCATAGAAAAAGTCTAGTTTAGACAGAAACAAAGTTAACAGAGCATCTGTAACCTGAAATTTTTCCTTAGATCTGATTGTCTTTATGAAAAGAAACGACAGTTGTATCATTAGAAGTTAATGGGTAAAGAATAAAAGTTCTCCATAATGTTACTGTTGACTTGGATTTGAATGTCAGTATAGTTTACAGCACCGACTGCTTTCGGTTACGATTTCAGTTTGACAAGGCATGGATATTTTGATGATAACAACAATTTTGGAGTATTAGTGACTTCTTTCTAAACAAACATTTGAAGTGACATATAAAGCTGTTGATTGAATGTACAATTTCTTTAGAATATTCAGAGTATTTTTAATCAATTCTAATATGAAGTTGATTTAAGCTTTACAGCAAACTGTAGACTTCCTAAGGAAAACAGTAGTCATTACCACAAAAGTTCATTACGGATAAGATTTTATTTTGATAAATCACACAGTGTTATACAGTAATATTAACTGATGACAACGTTTCGAGCACAAACTATTGCTACTCATAATCATATTAAGTTATTCGCACAACTTTTTTCCTTCATTTATATACATGAGTGAAACTGATTAGACATTTGAATAAAAATCAAATAATCAGATAATGTACATTCAGAAATAATAATACGAGTGTTATTAATCAAATACAATTAGATGGGAAATAAGACGAATGTTCTTATAATTATAATAAGTAATTTGTTAGAATGTTGTGATGTGTTTGAATTGAAATAGAATTTTGAGATTATTTATTATCCTCTTCTGATTTGACTGGTGATAATAATATCGTCCATATTTCTGGTATTTGCATTGAGTCATTTCTGTTGCATATGTTGGGTGTAGATTCAATGAACCAGGATTCAGTAATCAATCTCTCTCTCCACCTACATAGGTTACTTCTTAGAATCTTAACCCTCTCCCACCCTATTGTGTGGTGGTGAGCAATAATTTGTGCTCGAAACGTCATCAGTTAATATTACTGTGTAACACTGTGTGATTTATTAAAATAAAATCTTATCCATAATGGAGTTACACTCTACCACAGTGCCCAAGTTTTATACTTATATCAACACCACAAAAGTTTCTGGATGAATCCTTTACAGAATGTCTCTCAGAAAATAATCATAATGAGGAAAACACATCCATTTCTAACTATTATGTTTTAAGAAGTAGTAGAATTAGCATTTTTATATTTACATTGTTGTATTTTATGTATAAGATACAGACTAGGCTCGACTATATAAATAATCTTTGAGATTAGTTTAATGAAGCTGACGAGAACGCTTTTGTTCATATTTTTATCGCAAAAAATGAATTCCTCCATTTCAATCACTAGAAACTTCTTTAAATTAAAAAGGCATATGTCAGCAAAATGTACTGTTTCCACTTAGAAATAATAACAGTTTTGTTCGCAGTGTTCATAAGACTGAATTTTGAAAGCGTTTTCACCTAAGAGGGCCAGAGTATCTACATACTCTGGGTACTTTCTCCTGATAGCACGTCAGTTGCTAAGATATTGAAGTCGATTAAGGTCACATCCATCAATGCATCAGTAAAGAAATTAAATAAATATGGTGTCACCGAAGCTGCTGGTTGTCATTATTCTAGATGGCATTTTTCCATAGTCTCTAATGTGGCTGCATGAGTTCTCCGCGACCTTTATGGCTGGCTCCACAATCGCCCACAATATCTCATCTCCTTCATACATGATCTTCCCAATGTCACTTTCCAAAGTCCAACTCCTCGTTTTCAGTCTGAGTTGCACTCGAGGGCCTGGGATGTGAAGTCACTCACCGTATTTCTAATTCATGTCGATTTCCTTCCTCATATTTGTTAGGCCATCGGTTGTTGACTGGTTCGCTGCCAAAGTATCTTAGTAATTATCCTTTCCGGCCGGCTAAATGATCTTCAGCATGGAGCGTAGGCAGGTGTTGATGGAAACCTTCAGAAAGCTGTTGGAAATGCTTTTGTTGACACACGCGCCAAGTCTTTGAACTATATAGAAGAACTGACTTGAGATTAGTGTTAAAAATCCGAATCTTGTTCTTTATACTTAGTACAGTAGATTTCCACACCGGTTTCAGATTAATGAAGATATAGCTTGTTTTTCTGATCCTACCTTTGACATCCTTACCCATCCCATCTGCTGCAGAGACACTAACATTTAGCTATTCAAATTGTGTTTCACTTCCTATATCACTGTAATCGATGTACTAGTCTGTAAAATCAAAGGAATTTCAACATAATGTTAAAATAAAATATCTGAAAATTGTCTTCATATTCCAGTAGCTTCCATAGTTTTAATTTGTGTGCCAACAATTTGTTCAAACATCATTCTCATTATGCAATGCTTGCACTAAGTGATTTTGAATTACAAATAATGATATCTGTGTATTGTGGTTATACCCTACTGTTTTTAATATGTGATAATAGCTTTATTCTGAAAAATGCCTTTTTTTACACAATACAAGATTTACAGGAACTTTTTTACAGCAAGTTATTTACTCCCTGTTCAGAACCTTCAAGGAGTCTGATAAACGATAATATTTTTGATTGGACACTAGTCAGTAACTAGTGTAATGTGTTTAGTCCTTTATGCGGTGCAGGCTGAATTCTATCTGTCGAGTTTGCGATGTGTCAACCATGCCACTAGGTGGTTCGCCATCAGGGTGCATTGTGAATTGTTGGTATTAGATGGTTGGAGGCAATCGGTAGGAAGCCCAGTCTGACTTAGGTTTCGCTCTAGTCGGCACTCACCAGTCAGTAAGGCGTATGTGAAGCTTTGAAGGAACTCATGTCCCTTTTGAGATTCAAACCTGCGTCACCCAGTGAGTACTGCTGTCAGAGACGTTACCACTGAGCTATTCGGGCTCGCCATTGACCTCCTGTAGGAGTGTATTGGATATTTTTGATTGGACATTAGTCAGCAACTAATGTAATGTATCTAGTCCTGTCATTGGTGCACAGACTGAATTCTATCAGTCAAGTTTGCGATATGGCCACCAGTCTAGGTGGCTTGCCATCATGATGCACTGCACTTTGAATTGTTGATATTAGATGACTGGAGGCAATCAGCAGGAAGACCAGCCTGACCTAGGTTTCGTGCTTACTGGCACGAGACATGATCCAATAATCTACAATGAATCTACTCCATACGTTTCTAGAACTAAAAGAAAGGCAGTAAACAAGATGCATTTAGGTAGATAGAAAATTTAGGTAATCCAGTGAGAGTGATTTAAGCATTAAATTTTATATATAGATTTTCCAAGTTCTGCATACCTTAAAACAATATCAAAGATAAAAATATCCGTTTGTCAAATTAGACTGAAAGTTTACTGGACAGTAATCAGCTCTCTTTCTTATCAGACTATGATGATTTTAAGAATGCATAGTTGAAGGGGCTATAAATGACATTACACAAGATCAACAATGTTATTTATAATTCTGAAAATAAAAATTGCGGTTATTAAACACTCTCTTTTTTTGTTATCTTGTCATATCATAACATAAATTTCTTTTAGAAATGCATTATTCCTTTTGACTTTCTACTCTTCTGTAGTAGTATTTTGAAAGGTTTCACCCTTTTGGAAAGGTTTACATAGTTTCTCTCTCTCTATCTCATTTCTGTATGTCATTAAAAGTGGAAATATATTAGTGACATTGATGTACCTTGTAATATTGCTTGCAGTGATAACGCATTTTCAAGCGTATGCACCGCATATCTATATATATTTATATATTATCGGTCATTTGATGACATTTGGCTACATGCCAAGTCTAGTTCATGGTTTATTTCTGTTTGTTGTTTCTAAACTAGATGTTCTTCAGAAAAAATGTCAGCTATACACACACACACACAGAGACGCACAGTTTTGATCACAATCTTGGAAATTAGTATACTTAATTAGAATGTTTTTAAATACAATCTGAAACGTTCACCATTCTATACAGTTGACAATACTATAGGTCATACAAGATAAAAACTATGCATTGTAGTCCACATCACCACTTATGATGATGACAAGTGTTGTTTTTTATTTATCCAACCAAGAGCCGATCGCTCAATAAATATGTAGGAGAAAATGGAGATGAATCGGGTATTATTATTACTATTGTTTCCTTTAATTCCTAGAGGAACATAGGGCTTCAGCCGTGCGTCTCCATTGAGTTCGGTTCTCTGCTAGAATTTCACCTGGCTCCATGTCTGCCCACACGTTTTCATCTCCTCTTCACATGACCTCCTCCAAGTCACCCTTGCACTGACGACCAACTCGCCACTTCCCTTTCGGTTTCCACTCGAGCAATGGCTTGTCTAGTGATGTCACTTGATGGTTTCCTCAGAGTATGGTCAGCCAATCCATCTCCATTTCTTCCTGCCTATTTGTTTCACAATCGGTTCCTGGTTGGTTCGCTCCCAGAGATCCCAGCCTGTTGCTGATGTTTTCTGTCCGGCTGGCCATCTGATCTTGAGTGTTGAGCGAAGACCACTGTTA